TCTACTGAGCCATCTCCCTGGCCCTTAAGTAGGTGCTTTAGACCACTGAGCCATCTCACCAGCCCCAAAGATTTTTTTTTTTTTTTTTTTGGTGGAACTGGGGATTGAACTCAGGACCCTGCGTTTGCCAGGCAAGCGCTTATTCTACTGAGCCATCTCCTCGGCCCCTGGGCCTATAATTGAATGGTGAGATGTGAGGTGTTCTTCAAAAGTAGAACACATGAATTAATGGATATACAGCAGGCCATGGAAACAGGGATTAGGACTGGCTTACTCTTTAAAAATTTTTTTTTTTTTTTTTTTTTTTTTATGTATTTGCTACAAGGTCTTGCTATACAGCTAGGACTCCTAGTGATCCTTCTGTCTCAGCCTTTCCAGCTGGGATTACAGGCATGCGCCACCACACCAGGTGTTGGTGGCTGGCTCTGTCTGCCTGGGATGGGGCCAACATGGCATGTGGTACTGGGGATAGAACCTGGGTCCTTGCATTTGCCTAGGCAGGTGCAAGACCACTGAGCTATCTCCATGGCCCTAGTCTTCCACTCTTGACCCTTTCTTTAATGCATTTCCCACTGGCTCGAGGCACTGGTGGTATGTGCAGTGGTTCCAGCCAGTGAGAATGCCACATGTTTAAATGAGAGCAGGCTGCTTCGTGACATAGGAAGCATGGTCCAGATGTGAATGTGCCAAAGACCATTTCCTGAAAGCTCTAATCCATTGTGATGGGTCTTGCTCTCTCTCTTTGCCTGGTGACTTTCCTAAGCTACATTCTGGCTGTGCTTACGTTTTGAATATTTGTCAGGATATACCCCTGCGTCTGTTACTGCCTCTTCCAAACCACAATCTTATACTTGATCTCTCTCTCTCTTTTCTTTTTTTCGGTGGAGCCAGGGATTGAATTTAGGCTGTTGCACTTGCCAGGGAAGCACTTATTCTACTGAGCCATCTCCCCAGCCCTACTTGATCTCCTTGGCTTCTTTCTTAACCAAGGAATTGCCTTTATAAAGCCCAGTTTTTTGACGAGTTTCTAAATAGCCTCATAAGAAAATTCAGCTTGCAGCAAAATATTTCCTTTTTATTGTGTCCTGAAATTCATTTACTAATCTCATTTCCTACAGATCTGCCAACTTAAACTCTCATATTTCTGTCTTCCCAGAACTATTTCCATAATCCAATGTCTTTGCTTGGGCTGTTTTCTAATGTTGCCATCCCCTTCACTACTTGTGAGGTACAAGTTTTGTCCCCTGCATTAATTTTTTTCATGGAATCAATTACTCTATATCTGCCTCTGTAGTGGTTTTAGTCTGATTGGAGTCCATTTTATAGACTTCTGATTTCATTGGGTTGGACAATGCCTTGCACAAAATAGGCTCACTAACTGTGGAATTGAAGACAAATGGTTGGTTGGCAGTGTAGATGGGGATAAAATGAGAGATTGGGATCCAAGAAAAAAGAATCTCGTTTTAAGCAAGAAGTTGTTGATCTGTGCATTCCGTGTTGCCTCAGACAGAGGTCCTGTAGTACCAAGATAATAGGTATTTAAAAAAAAATTTATTTGGTTGTTATAGGGTCTCTCTACACAGTACAGACTCAGTGATCCTCCCACTTTCAGCCTTTCAGCCTCCCCAGCACTGGGATTACAGACATACCACTATGCCCAGACACTGGCTGGCTCAGCCTGCCCTGGGGGCCGGGCTGGCATGGCATGTGGTGCCAGGGATCAAACTGCGGTCCCTGCGCTTGCCAAAGCTTGCCTAAGCAGCTGCTTTAGTCCACTGAACTATTTCACTGGCCCAATAGACATTCTTTAAAGATGCTTCATTATAAAATAAACTTGGGAAATGTGACATTCTTGAGTGCTTCCCCCTTTGAGATCTGAGACACATATCAAAGATTCTGAAGTCTTACAGAAATTTAGCTTGCTTGACTGGTATTTTCTAGCATTTCGCAAATTGACACATGGTTATTAGTTTTTGAGAGTATTAGTAAACTGCTAAGCATGGGCTGCAAAGTGCTGCCAAACCCCAGCCCTCAATCTTTCTGGCTTCCTCCTCCTGCTGTTCCCCTTGTCTCTGTCATCTTTGTCAGCCTGAAGTCCACCTGGACAGCTTCTGCTGTTTTACTGCTATTCTTACACCTTCTTGCTTATTGTCCTCTACATTCCTTTCTGATTTTCTTCTCTGTGGGATCATTCCTAAACACTTAAACATTCATAAGAACTATTTAATTGTCTCTTGTCTCTTCTGTATCTACTATAATGCCATGTCTCTCGGAGAAAAAGGAGTAGAGGAACTTTTACATTTCTTTTAGACTGGGAAAAGGGACCTCAAACCAAAGAACCAAGCCCAGAGCAAAACCTGGTCTGGGGTAGAAAAATCATCTTCAGGGGCAGGAATAGTGGTTCTGGCAGTGGTGACTTCTCATATGTCTATTTAGGAGACTCTCCTGATCCATTGGAGTCACCCCAAGGCAACGAGAAGAAACAGATTTTCAGCCCAGTAACAATGAGTGACACTGAGACCCATGCTCAGGAAGGAAGCCATAGTAGTGATGAATTTGAGAGAAATAATCTTTCCCTGCAGTCAGAGGATCTTCCAGGAAAGTGTGCCCAGGAATGCAGTGTTACTGGCGTGAGCACCAGCCCCCAGCAGATGCAACGCTTCAGGTGTAAAATTTGTGAAAGAGCCTTTAGTACCAAAATTGGCCTTGTGAAACATGAGCTGATCCATACTGGGAAGAAACCCTTTGAGTGTAAGCAATGTGGTGCAGCCTTCTTCCTCATGCCACACCTCACCAGGCACCAGAAGTCTCATGCTAGTAAGAAGCCCTCTGTATGTAATACAGGTGCAAAATCTTCCATCCAGCATGCAGATCTCTCTGGGCATGGTCAGGAAGACTGCTGTGAATGTGTTCACTGTGGCAAAACTTTTACCCGGGCTAAACATCTTTCTCAACATCTTCAGGCCCATGAGGAGGCAGAGGCCCTTCGCCCTGCATTGTCCCACAACAAGACATATTTAATTCACTACCAGCGGGAACAGCGCTATGTCAGCGAGAGAGCCTCCCGGTGCTGTGACTGTGGGAAAACCTTCAGCAGTAGTTCATACCTAGTTCAGCATTACCGAATCCATGCTCAAGAGAGGCCTTACCAGTGTCAGATCTGTGGGAAGTGTTTCAGCCGAGCCTCAAACCTCACTCAGCATTACCAGCACCATTTTCAAGAGAAAACAATTGCCATCACTGTTTAAAAACATTTAAAGTAGAGACCACTTTCTCACCATCTCTGGCTTTGTTCTATAGAAACAAATTTTGAATGTGCTAAATTTGAGAAGGGCCTCTACCTGCCCTTACCACACCTGGTTAACAACTTGAAAGTTCATTGAAGTACAATGGAGAAACAGGAAGGAGCAGTTACATGGTTGTGCAGCAGTCTTTGTGCAAGAGGGGATTCACACACAGCAGTAGTCACATGGACAAAAACTTAAGAGTTTTTTGTTACAAAGCAACACAGCTAATAAGCTTTGCCCTCCTTCGGTGCTATTCATGAACAGAGAACCTAGATTTTGACGTGTTGATAAAAATTTATAATAGACAGTGTTGCTCCACACTGGCAGTCTGTGGCCTTAGTTTTTATAGAAGAGTTAACATCCACATATTAGCAAGGTGGAAAAGTTTTCTAGGTGCCGCCTAGATGAATAATTCACTAGGCTGATGTTATTGGTCATATTTTTACATAGCATTTCATAGTTTGTAAAATGTTCTTTTATGTATTATTTGATCCTTCAGGCTACCTAGGGCGTGTGACATCAGCCAATCTCAAAGACGTTTTGGGATTCGTGACGGAACCAGGGTCACACTTGTGTGAGGCATGCACTCTACCACTGAGCTGTATCCAGCCCTATTTTTTATTTTGAGACAGATTCTCACACTCTTGCTCAGGGTAGCCTTGAATTTGTGACCCTCCTGCCTTGGCCTCCCCAGTAGGTGGGATTGGAGGCATGTACCACCATGCCTGGCTAAGGTGCAGACTTAGACACTCATGCCCCAGACCAGTTTGCTCACTGCTGACCAAGGCATCTCAGTGTCCTCACCACTACTGTGTGTTCTTCCTGGGCCGGCTGCTGTCTCTTCACTGCCTCTTCTGAACTTTCTTCATGACTTACCTCTGCTGCTCCAGTAGGGTCTTTAGCTGCCGACATAAAAGACAGTGGGTCCTTTCTGAGAAGTCCGGGTGTGGGCCATCTGTGCTTGTGGGGCCTAAGACTACTAGAGGAGCCTCAATAATTAGGGCAAATCAGGAGCCCCAGACTAGCTCATCCTTATTCTTAAGCTCCTTTCATGTCTCAGCTGACAACGTGGACAGCTCCCCCTGCTGCTCTCTGTGTGTCTTGGCATGGCAGGACTGTACACAGAGGCTGCCTAGGTACAGGGAAGCTCGCTGAGGATGCCCAGCCTCTCAGCCACTGCTGCCTTCCTGAGCTGCAAGAGTGAAGCACAGAACTGCTGCCCTGTGTCACCTTCCAGCTCCACATGGCCCCGTGGTTTGGGTGCTTGTGTTGAGGTTAATTAGTTTAATTAATTAATTAATTTGTATGGGAATCAAATTCAGGATGTTGCACTTGCCAAGCAGGTACTTGTGCCACTGAGCTGTATCCCTGGTCCTACTTTAAATTTTAGAGGCACTTGTGTCATAGGCTTTCTTTGTTCATGTGTGGTGATGCAAGTAATGTGCCTTCCTTAAAGATTAGAGAATTTTTTTCTTTGAATGTGTGTATTCTTCCCTCCCAGATAGACTTGTCAAATTTTGTCCTTCGACATTTTTCCCTTAGGCATAGATCCATAAAGACTTATTTTTAAAAAGTATTTATGAAATACTGTTAGTGCTGCTTGGAAGACTGTATTTTTCCGCCTCATACATCACAACCATCTTTCCACAGCCGTTGTGCGCTCCTGTTTCGTTTTCAGGGTTGCCTGAGTGCTTGGTTGTGTGGGTGCGTCTGTTGTGCTTAGCCTCGCAGGGTAGGAAGCCAGGGCCAGCTGCTGCCTCTGTGCAGTGCACGCCGCTGCTGCTGCAGTTCTGCTCCCTCCTGCCTCTCGAGGCTTAGTGTTTGCATTAGCAGTCTTCTCATGTTGGGTCTTATTTTCCAAGGGGAAAACACATCATTTTAGTTGTATTTACTTGATTTTCAACATTTTTTGGTAAACTTCATAAGCAGTTATACTTCTCTGTCTGTGTTACATGTCTTTCAGTCATTCATGTCTTTAGTGTGAGCAGTCTTTTTCTAGACTAGGTAAAGGTATTTACCTGCTGTCTTCGTCCACAAGTGTTTTTCCTAGCTTATTTAGCAATTTCTTTGAACCTTAGCATGCTTCGCTCTGGATTTTTCATTATTTTTAATATGCTTTAACAATATGCTTTCTGAATTTACTTATATATATTGTATGAAAAGGGGGTCAAAGTCACCCCTTCCCTGTTGCCCCTGGGGGTCTAACATCAATAACTAGTCAAAGAGGAACACAGATGCTTTATACTGTGTGGGACCCATACCCAGACCTGCTGTTTCACTGGCTTATTACCCTGTGTTGTTGCTTATCCATACTCTTTCATTATTGTGCCTTAAAATGTGTGTGTATGTGCAGACTTTTTAAGATGAAAATGTATGTTTATTAATTGAAAATAGCCTTTTGACTTTATAAAGAATTTATGCATGAATTAGAATTAATATTTTTAGTTGTAATCTTATCATCTAGGAATATATTGTCCTTTCCTGTATCCAAGCTTTTTTTTTATCAATCAATAAAGTTATATAGTTGTCTTATGAGATCATATTTCCTTTAGTTATTCCTATGTTATTGTGGTATGGTTTTCTTGTACTGTTTCCCTTCCATTTCTCATAAAAAATGAGCCTCTTAGGGATAGGGTCGCTTTGCCAAGGACTTTGGGCTCCAGAGTCAGGCCTACTGCACGGGTGCTTTGTACAAGTCTCTTGTAATAACCTCAGGTACAAGTGCCCATAACCTCACCTAGCAGGAGGCTACTGGCCTGGCCAGGCAGAGACCACAGTGTCCTGGGCCAGCCTGTGGACAGGGTGAGGGGAACTGGGCTGCCTGTGGGATGCACTGGAGAGAAGGGTATGGCCCTTCCCTAGGTGACAGCGGTCAGGAGAGGTGAGGGTGGCCTGACTCTGAGACAGAGGCACAGTGCAGCCTGCGGCTTGGACCCCGCCCCAGGCCCACTCCACCCCGCCCTCCCCAGGGAGTACTGCTGCCCCTGAGCACAGCTCCTCTGTGGGCAGGGGGCCCAGCCCAGGGTGAAGACATGCAGCCAAGTCTGATGCTGCTCTTTGCTGTCATGGGAGTGTCACTCGTCGTGCACTTTCTGCTGCAGTTTTGTTTCTTCCTGGGTTACACCAGAAAATGGATTTGCCGTGAGTTCAGCCAGACCATTGTCACCCAAGTCCCACATAAGTGGCCAGGGCCCATGTGGAAGCTCAGGGTCTGGGTGTCTGGGAGCTGGGGAGTCCCTCCAAAGGCCAGAGCAGAAACCTGGGCCTTCTCTGCAGAGGAATTGCTGCTCCACCTGCTCCTCTGCTCCTCCTTCGTGGGTTCAGGGTGGCCTGCAGGGAGTGTCGTATCCCCTCTCTCTGGATGCCTTGCCCTTTCTGGTGCATTTCTCCAGATTCCCCGTGTTTGCTGATCGTTGTGCCTGAAGCGTGGAGTACGTGGCCCAAGTGCCTGTCTCCGGCTGCTGATGCTTGAACTCTCACCTTTGACCTGGCTTGACCTTTGATGCTGCCATGTATTATCATGTTTCTTCCCTCCCTCTGTTTTTCCTTTTCATGCCAGCAATTTGGTTTTGCTAGAATGACTGTGAAAGGGGAGCTACAGTGACGCCTCAGTCCACAAATTTCTTTCCACAATTCTGGTTGCAAGCTGAATTGATGAAAACCAGATAAAATTAATGCTGAGGCTCCATGTTGGCCTTATGAGGAAATCTGATCCAGTTCTCTTCCAATTCAGTTTGTGACTAGCATCATGGAATTAAGTTCATACACTGAGGTACCACTGTATTTAAACTTGCATTTAAATATGAAATATGGGGCTGGGGAGATAGCTTGGCAGTCTAAATGCCTGCCTGGTGAGCACAAGGTCCTGAGTGCAGTTGCCAGTACCACATGCCATGCTGGCCCCACCCCCAGGCATGCCAAGCCAGCCACTGAAGCTGGGCATGGTGGCACACACCTGTATGCCCAGTGCCAGGGAGGCTGACACAGGAGGATCACTATAAGTTCTAGCTGTATAGTAAGGCCTGGTACCAAATAAATAAATAAAAATAAATAAATAAATATAGAATATAAGAAAAAAATCTTTTTCTAGAACTTCAAAAGCTAACCACTTGATTTGGGGTTTCCAGTTCTCAGTGATGGCCTTCAGAGCAGCCCAGCCAGCACAAGCTGCATGGGGCTCCTGACTCTGTGAGCCCACAGCCAGTCTGTTCTGGGTTTAGTTTTAAGGACAACTGTGAAGTAAAGCCTGAAATAAAAATGTCACTAAAACCTGTGAGGATCCTGAGCATGTTTTGCTGATGCAGTTTGTGGGGCCTGAGGCAACTGCGTGTGTCAGTCTGATTCTGGTTATTCGGGGTTCATGACCCCAGAACACATGCTGCAGCTTGGGCTCTAGCCCCCTTTCCTCTTCCTCTGTGGTCCTGGGGCGTGCTACCGGGCTCCCTGTGCATCCACCACCCCTGCACTGACCTCCTGGCTTGTCCCACTGTCCCTGAAGCAAAATGTGACACTTAGATCTTTTTGTTTTTGTCTTGTTTTTGTGTCTTTATTTAGAACACTTTTCTTTCCTTCTAAGATGCTCAGAAGACACAAGTTCTGCCTGTGTCCTGCTGCTTCTTCACACTGTCATGTCCTCGCCTCTATCTGCATGCTTTCATAGTTTGTGCAAAATCTGGCCAATTCAAAAGAGTTTCAAAGAAGCTGTTTTAAGTTGTTGTGGGGTTGAAGTTTTTCAAGATTTAGGGCTTTATTATGAAGTGGCCACTTCCTCCTCCAGGGCTGCAGAGCCTGTGCCCATGCAGCTGCTGTCACCTTAGCCACTTTGCACAGAGCCGGGAGCCGAGGGAGGGCAGGGAGGGACGAGCCTGTGGGCGGTGCAGGACCAGGGCTGTGCACCACCCCACAGCCCTCATGCCGTTGCAGCCCTGTGCCACTCTCACCAGGTGGGCGGCTCTGCCCTC